TCGTCCGCGCCTTCCCCCGCAGGCCGCTCCCCTCGCCTGGGCGCGCGGGTGTCCCCGCAGCTCCCTCTGCCCCCCCGAGCCGGGCACAGGCGGCCTGTGCGCCCGGGGACACCGCGGAGAGCAGCTTCCACAAGGGCGAGGGCAAAGCCCTGCCCCTGGGGAGGAACACCCCAGGCACCGCTCCGGGCTGGGGCCGCCGGGACGGAAAGCAGCTTGGCCGAGAATGGGGCCCAGGTGGGCTCCCGGCTGGACGTGAGCCAGCCGTGTGCTGCGAGGCAAGCGAGGGTGCTTTGGGCTCCTCTAGGCAAAGCAATGCCAGCAAGTTGAGGGAGGTGATCCTGCCCCTCAGCGCTGGTGAGGCCACGCCAGGGGTGCTGGGGCCCACTGTGGGCTCCCCAGTACACCAGAGACATGGACATACTGGAGAGAGTCCAACGAAGGGTCACGAAGATCTTTAAGAGGCTGGAGCATCTCTCCTCTGAGGAAAGGCTGAGAGAGGTGGGACTGTGCAGCCTGGGAAGAGCAGGCTCAGGGGGATCTCATCAGTGTGTACAAATAACTGAAGGGAGGATGCAGAGAAGACAGCCAGGCTCTCTTCTGTGGTGCCCAGTCCCAGGACCAGAATCAATGGGCACAAACTGAAACACAAGAGGTTCCCTCTGAACATTGGGAAACACTATTTACTGTAAAAGTGACTAAGCCCTGGCACAGGTTGCCCAGGGAAGTTGTGGAGTCTTCATTCCTGGAGATAGTCATCTGAACATGGTCTTGGGGAACTTGTTGTGGGTGGCCCTGCTTGAGCAGGGGATTTGGACAAGGTCATCACCAGAAGTCCCTTCCAATCTCAGCCATTCTGTGGTTATTCCACACCCCACAGCACTGTGCCGCTCCTATGAGGGATGGAGGCCCTCAGTAAGGATAAGGGAGCCACTGAATAAGCAAGGGAGCCCAGCTCTGTCCCTTCCATCCTTAAGGAGGGCTGAGGCCTCCTTACTCTTTCAAGTGACCCCTTCATTTAGGCCACATCCAGGAGTGTGGCTTCAATTCCTCCTGCAGAATATACAGGATGTAGGGTTTGAGGAAAGTCTAAAGTCTCTCCACCACACAAAGATGCCTCAATTCAAGGGTACAAAAATACTCCCCCTTCTGTCAAGAGCCATGTATGGACCTAGAGGGCATTCATTCTGTTGAGAGAAAAAAGGACAGAAGGGACCTCTCTATTAGAGATCTCCCCTAGGCAGTGGTCCAAACACTTGCATCAGTGATAGCAAGGGGAATGGGAACCCAGCACTGAGTCTGAAATCTTTGACACCAACCAGCAAAGATAACAGAGGCGGTCAAAGAGTTGCTGTCATGATCAATGGAAGTGCCCTCTGCTTACCATCCTTGGCCACTTAAAGACAGTGACCAGACCTCCCTGCATTCTGGTATTTCAACAGGATAACAGCCTGATCCTGTGCTGTTGATCCACAAGGTTTGATCTAGGTGTGGATCGCACGATGCCTCAGTGTTCCCCAACTCAGCAGTAGTACCTGTGGTTCCTCTGCAGGGCTGACATGGGAGCAGGAATTATCATCAGTGTGAAAGGGAGGTGAAAGGAGAAGGACTGAGCTGGAACTTCATTAATGAAACAAGAGAGTACTGGTTTGTGAACTCCGTGCAAGGTGAAAAGAAAATAGGACAAAAGAACTAGAATATACTGTGTTGGGATTTTTTCAAGATCAGAACAGAAACACAGGTTTTTTTCTGCAGGATCATTAGTTAACTATCTTCACTATTGACGGTTGAAAATAATATATACTACCCAAACAAACCACAACTGTCTTTCAGCTTACTGAGTCAAAAAAAGCAAATAGACATTTTTGCTCATATAGTAAGCACCTGACATCAGGACAAAAACTACCTCAGATTTTTTAACATGAATTTTAGTCACATGAGATATCACGTTTTATATGAATACCTGTCTCCCATACCAAACTGCCTTTATTACTTTTTAAGTTTTATCCCCTAATCACTTCTTAAGCACACACTAGTTGTTTCTATTAATGTCAGTCCCTTTGAATCATTGCTTAACCAGGTGGGGAAAAAACAAACATTCCCCTAAGACATCACTGATTCTGCTCCATCTGACTGGAAATTCATTTTCCTCTTCAGAGTCACACATTTTGAAATAAAAGAGTCTTAGGAGGCTGGGTTCATTCCCTTGCTTCTTGAAGTACAGTACTTCATTCATGCCCTCTATTAAGTCCTTTCCTGCAGTAGCTTTCCTGTGGGACGTCTGTTCCAGAATTTCACACTTGTGAGGGGCAACATCATCAGACCTGCAAGTTCCTGTTTTGCAATAAATACTTTTCATGGCTTTCCATAGTTTTAATGGCTTCCATTCATAACTGAATTTAAGAACTAAGCTACTTATATTAGTTGACCTTCCTTTTAACATTTCCATTCTTTCCATATCTCTCTGAAAAATCAGGCATAGCAGGTAAAGCCTTACTGAATAGTTGGCATTTCTTTATTCCCATATGTATGCTGAGTTGTTTTCTATGCAGATATCCTATTTCTTCCATAGGCATAGCATGATCTAATCAGCAGACTAAATTCAATTAAAGATTTCTATTTCTTTAATGGTGACATGTATAAGTAACGAAGTATTTCAAGGGTATGTCTCCACAATGGGATGGAGCATGGGACAGAGCCCTCACATTTAACTCCAACCACAAATGTGTATATTGACCTGACCAATCTCTGCACAAACTTACTCATTTATGGATCCAAGTACAAGGATTGAGACAGTCAGATGGCAATAGTGTCATGATCTGAGCCTTCTTCAAGATCAGTGGGATGTGGTCTCCTTTAGTGATGTGGGCACACTTGAAAGCGTTGTGCTCTGTTAGTCCAGTTTTGGCTCTGTACAGAGTATACTGACGGTGCCCTATGCATTGCCCTTTGCCACATATTGATGTACTGTGCAGTCACCGAGAAACACTCACACTTGTAGCATTGTCACCTGATATAGTTGTCCCAAGGCATCCACTTCCACTTTACAGTTCATTCCTGTTTAATTAAGTGTACTCTTTGTGGGGATCACGTGGCTTAGGTCAGCCACCTGTGTTCCAACTGTCTCTTAAACTGACTTTACAACAATCTTCAGAAACTTTATTATTACTAGACATCTGAAGTTTAAATTTGTGTGGAAGCTCCCAATAGTTGACTTTACTATGAAAAGATGTCAAATATGTAACTATAATACACATAAATACACTCTTCATTCTGTAAAAATGCATTGCTTGAGGTGTTTGCTACATCGGCTCAGCATACTGAAAAATCTATAGGGAGGCATAGTTACAGCCCTCAAGCTAGTATTAAATTGATGGGTGAAAAGTAGGAGAAGCCCAGCCAACGTGACCTTCATAAGTGACATGACACCTCACCAGCAAAAAAAGCAGAAGCAGGGCACCTCTCTCCTGAATCCAAGGTTCAGCCTTTGATTCTATGGAACATGCTGGCTTCTTGTTTAACTGGGATTAGCGATCACACCCTTTGATGATACCAGGAAAAAAAGCTCAGGCACAGATCCAAGGGTTAACAGTTCCTTTTTGAACTCAGAGGACAGTAGTTCAGAAGCATAGCAGTTTCTGACATTGCCTTTCATCAAATGAGAAGCAATATTTTGAAACGTGTTTGCTATAATACTTAATCCTGGTGAGATTGCAAACAACTATTGTTGTATTTCCTATATCTAGATATCATTTGTTATACAGTTAACTGATTTTTTTTCAAAGGACAATATACCTTCCCTAAACACCTTAAAGTGTATACAATAGGAAAAACAAGCCTGAACCAAAATTCTGCATCCAAACACTGAGAAATTTTTATGGATTCATTGTCAGTAATGACTAGCAACATTTTTTTTAAGAGGTTACATTTCAACAACTGTACTTAACTGCTTTCACTGATCTGAAAGGGAGCGGTCAATGCAGGGAATTGTACAGGCTACTAAGAGATCTGTAGGAAAAATAAAAGCAGAATCAAGTACAAGTTATTTTAAAATATATATACGTACTTGCAGGATTCTTTACAGGCCACAAAACTGACAGTTATTTCTCTGATTCAAGGGATGAGAAATTTAGACTGTGAGGTGATCATATTTCCTTTATCATTCACTTTTTCTTGATTACCTTGCTGCCAGCATACAGTAGTTGAAGGCACGCAAGACTTAATATTATGATAAGGAGTGAAATGTACTGTGGGATATTAGGGTATTCCATTTGGGGCAATTCAGAGTACATTTATGCTTCTCTAAGCCAAATCTCAGTTCTTACCAAGGTGTCCTGAAAGAAAAGGCAATATCCATACAGCAACATAGTCAACTGAAGGGATCAGGAGCATCTAACTTTTTCAGTGAATAGGGCTTCCTGTTTTTCTTTCTGTGTTGGACTATGAGGTTATCCAGCAATCATGTCTCATGTGGTCTTGTTTCTATCTTTATTTCTTGCTAGGTTACTCTCTCAAATAAGTTTGATTCTCATCCAAATTCAGAAGTGTAAGCAGAAAGTTTCTGCATTTGACCATTAAAGCACAAGCTTATATATAGCAAAATTGAAAATGTCTTCACATTTTAAAAGGAACTAGTTCATTACAAGGAATAATATTCCAGTATTCCTGGAATAATATTATTTGTCTGTCATTTTTTTCTGCGGCTGAAGTAATATGTTACGAAAAGGAAAAGGATGGTCAGGTAGTATAAATAGTCCAAGATGAAAGGTAAAGAGAGACCATTTTCAATAAAGGGACCATTTATAGCAAAGAG